CAGCAAGGAGGTCCGACCCATAATAGGAAGTACAAGCCCGAGCTTACTGTTGAGGCGCGGGCTAGCTTGGAAGGGTCGGGCTTTTTGAGCTCTGCCTCAGGCTCGTCGGGGTTGGACGGGCTGTCTCCCGTGCCCCTTTTTCCTCTTAGACGGGAAAGTTGTCGAGGTTTTGGACTTCAGGCCCCTTTCCCTTTGATATACATTATCCAAGAGTGCGGATGGATCGAAAGACATTTCAAGCTTTGCAAACAACAATAATAAAGGCATTAGCTCGAACTATAGATCAATGCTTAGGTATGAAATTACAAGATTACCCAAAAAAAAATCATACCCTCGAGGCCTTTCTCATTGGCAAGGTCGAGGGTGTAACCCTCAAGTAGATAGTCGATCTTCTCTGTCAAAGGATTGTGATTCACTAACCTCAGTCTATCTCTCTCTAAAACCTCGAAATAAGCCTGGCCTTTGTTGAACCTATCTTTATCAGGAATTTTCCACTTCGAGCTAAAAGGATGGTCGGGGTCTTGAGGCCTCACAAAAAAAGAATCGTTCCTTCCAACCCCGAAAAGAGCTCCATGTCTCAAGTGTTCTAAACCCCCTCTTCGTGGATAAGTAAACGAAACAGTTATACCCCGGGGAGAATTTCATATGAAAGACCATTTGTAAAAGATCGAGTCTAAGCTCGATCTCGAGACATCTACATAATATAAAGAAATATACCAGCAACCTCTAACCGTTCGGGGCTAGTTGGCCAGGGCATAAATAGTACAAGGTCAGAAATCGATGAAAAACGGGTAAATGGGCCACCTAAGCCCGGCCTTAAGAGCGTCTCTAAAAAAGGTTATCTCTCCCTCTCAAGTTCCTAACACGGTCTCAGTAGGCCCTAGGGCTCTCACATCACAAATGGGCATAACCCTGAACTCTCTCGCTATCTTAATAATCACATGTTCCTTATTTTTGGTCCGTTCTTTGAGGTAGACCAGGTCGTTAGTGTGAGAACTAAAAGGAATGGCCATGGGGATCAAGGATGTACCTACGTCCTCAGGTTTATCACTACGGTTCGAAGCTCTGGATGGACAGCTACTTCACTCTTACTCGACTCTGTACAAATGCTACTACTACTCGACATAATACTAAATCAAATAACTAAAACTTAAAGGCCCGAACTCTTACCCTTTTGGATGATCGTTCACCAACCCATTATCCCGAGCTCGAGCTTTCTTTTACTGGAAAGTGAAAAGTGAAAAGTGAAAGTGAAATGTGGAGACTATTTATAAGGGTCTTTGGAATGTCAACGGTCTATTAATCATGGCCTTTGAACGAAGACACATGGCGGCCATCTAAGCTCCTGATCTGACATTGCATGTGGCAGCCGTCTAAGGTCGTTCTCTGACATCCTATCGAACGCCTGACACGTGGAAAGACACCTGGATATTTATGCCTCTACATCTTCACTCGCAAATCATGCTTGGATGGAAATCTACGACCTCGATGTACGGGGGCTTGTGATGACCTCAGATCTAGTGAATCTCGAACTCAACCCATGAACCCCGAACTTGAAGTCCCCCTAAACCACCAAATCAAGGTCGGGTCTATGAGGTCAGGTTTTGTATGTCAACTCGTCAGTCCTTCCTGACGACCTATGGGAACACAAATTCTACGCAACCTACAATTCTTACCTAGCTAGATTCCCTTTTCGACTCAAACAGTGGTTGAATACTTGGAATAAAACAATAACTCCTTGTCCTGGATAAGGATCACACATGGCTAAGTCCTTCTAGGGCTCTATCTTCAACACCTATAAATACATAACCCGAGCTCGTTCTTAAGTTACGTTTTTCATTATCTCCAGTTTATAACTCACGAACTAAATTCTCTATCTGACTTAAGCATCGGAGGGACGACGAGCACACACCTCATTGCCTTTGTTTCAGGTATTTGAAGATCGTTCGTGTTCATCCAAGCTCGAAGTGCGATCATCAAAGTTCGAGATCTTTCATGTACTATTTTTTGTTAGCATCAGATGGTATTACATCAAAAGAGATTTTAAAATTAAAAAATAAAAAAATAAAAAGACATATATCAATGTAGTTCTTTGTGAAGTGATGCATGAATAAAGGGATAAGATTTTTGTGATGATGTGGAAAAAAGGGCTCCTGATACATCATGCATTGCCAAAACATCAGAAAAGTACAGCCTCTGTCCTCAGATGTTATATCTTTACTCCCTCTGTCAAACAAAAGCGTAGGAGACGGAGGGGGGCTAAACAATATATCATTCCAAATATATCTGAAACAATAACCCAAACCAAACTTATTTTTCCATCATAATAAGTCGATGTATAGTCATTCAGTCCTGAATGGCAAAAAAAAAAAAAAAAAAGCTTCACTCTTCAGTTACTTGGAATAGTTATATATATACTAATAACTCAATTCTCTTAGAAAGTTACTAATAATCTTTCTTATGCGGAGACATATTCAGCAATCTGTATGTATTTATTTTGGGGGGAAATGGGTGGAATAGAATAGGCTTGTCACCATTATACAGTAGAATTGTCATAAGATAGTTATAATAACACCTCCAGAGGTAGATAATTTGGATAGACGGGTACAAAATGCTTGCTAGTCACCATCTACCGTTTAGCAGCCAAGAGGCCTTGTACTTAACGAGTCATTTTGTTAGAGCATTTTTAAGCCTGCAATTCAACGATTCTCTTTTATAAAATGTTAGATTTTGATGTAAATAATTGAGTTGGCCAGGGTTTTGAGATTACAGACTTGTAAACCTTAGAATTTGAATTTCTTGAAAATCCTTACAGCTGAGTCAAGATGGCCGAGTTGGTCTAAGGCGCCAGTTTCAGGTACTGGTCCGAAAGGGCATGGGTTCGAATCCCATTCTTGACAAATTTTGGGATATATCTTTCTGGTTCTTTTGACAGTGTAACGTTTCGCCTTGAACTCTCTTAACTAGTTAATATTTGTCTTTCACTTTTCTTCTGCAAATTATTTTCCTTGTCCTCAGTAGTTCACAAACAAAAAAAAAATTTATGATCTGCAGACTTCAATGAAATTTATGTTGCTTGTTTTATCGAGCATCATATATGAACGTGAGCATCGGTCAGACTTACGAAGAAAGCCAGCTATTTTAACATTCAGCATCGGTCAGGATTACAAAAAAGGTCAGCTGTTTTAACATTCATCACCAACACTATCAGGGCATCCCCACATTAGCAGGTCATGTGCGAATTGCATTTTATGTAAGTACTATATGATCCAGTTACACATATGTTTTGAAAAGTTCGTTAGATGTTCGAAGTCTCACGCTTAAATATGCATTGGCAGGCGTCAAAGAAGTCTGGGGCAATGCAATTTCTTTTGGGTTTGACCTAAATTTGCTAAATAGAAAATGGAAATTTGAATTATTGTTTGATAATAAAAGGGCAAAAGGAAAAATTAAGAAATTAAGTCTTGTAGTAGAAAGAAATAATATTCGAATAGGCGAATGAATCTTATAAAAAGAGCTCAAGGTACTTTTTCTATAATTTAATGGCATCGCGATAGGAAGAATTGTGATTGGCACCAAGATGGCATGAATTTTGGCGTATACAAAATTGAGCGTCAAGATAGATAAAAAATAAAATAAAAACAATACGCACAGATATACATTGTACAACAATACATTAAGCCTTCTAGTTTTATATAGATGGAAGTTAAGAGAGTAAGAAAACGTTTTAATGTAAGATTTTTAAGTTAGTAAAAGTTATTTAATCGTGTAATCGTTGATAATTTGCTAAACCATTGATACTTATCTCTTTTTGACTCGTCTTTGCAGCTAGGTGGATTTTTTATTTTTTTTTCTCCAACAATTTCCCTCCACACATCATGTCTCGTTTCATGCTTAATAGAATGGTGTAAAATGCTTCGTATTTGAAAAGTATTTAAACGAACATGTTTTAGAAAATACAAAATAGAGTCATTTGGTCAAAATTGGGAGATATCCACGTCAGTATTATTTTCATAATTTTTGTTCCATACAAAGAACAAAAGCACCGACACTTCATCAAAACCAAGATTCAAAGCTCAAGATAAGGCGCATATAACTGTGACTACAAATACAAAAATGCCATTCTTTGTACGCAGAACAAAACACAGCTACTCCACCAGCCAATGTAATAGATAATAATGATAACAATGACAAGAGAGAAAAAAATAGAGATACCCATTTACCAATTTAATGATACATTAAAAAAAAAAAATGACTTAGCGGTAAAGGAACACTGACTTCATCCTACTCCAGATGGTTGTGATGTCAAGAGCTAATTCAAAATATTAGCTAAAATTCACCTTTCAAAGCCTACTTCAAAGAGGAAGTGCCCAATGTACTCATAAGCCTACAAGATGAAGTGTAACTTAGCAACATGGCTTAGTAAATTCGTTATTATGCATTTTCTTTTTCAAAATCAACGTCCAAAATGGAAGCCAACTCCAATTCGCTCTATCTACAATAACAGCCACCCTGGTCTCTGCTACGACACCAAACATAGATGGCACGGAACATAAAACCCAGATAGAAAAGCATGAAATCAACAATACTATGAAATCCTACCATGTCTTAGCATGCTATCTTACGACTATCAATATAGATAATCACGGAACGCAATAAAGCAAGAGAACTAATAAATTTGGTTGAATTCACCACCCTTGAAAGTAGAGCTCGTGTGCTTGTAAGCCAACAAGCTAAACTTTCCAGTAGCCATGAAGCTCAATGCCATTGCAACTGGCACTCCCATGTCATACAAAATGAAGGGAAAAACAAATCCAAAGATCAAATCACAACCTAACCTACAAAGGTGAAAACTAATTCAACACTCCATGTTAGCCACCAGTAGAGTTCTCATGAAGATAATGAAAATGGATGCCGTTGATGGTCGTGCGTATTTGAGAAACATGAAAAAGAAAAGAATATCTCAAAAATGATGGTGAAATACAAAATAGTTAAGTAATACTCAGAAAAACATATTCAATCCTTTATAACATGGATCAGACAGTTGCTAAACCCTTCAACAAAAAATTTGGACATCCCAAACACAACAAAGGATGATTGCCCAAATTCTTAGGGGCGAAAAAGAACTAACAAGCTCTCCTCCACAAATACAAACTACGGTCAGTGAAGGGGGATCGAACAACAAAAAAACGCTAAGTTGACTAGAATCCAACAAAAAGGTCAAACTTCTACTCGCCTGCTTCTACAAATTTTTCCGGTTTATTTGTTCATAAACTAGCAAATTACACAACCACTGTACAATTACATCCAAACACTTTCTATATACAGCCACTAACAAAACACTTTAGTATAATATACTATTAAACCATCTTAAGAACCTCTCTTTAAGGACTTGAAGTAGAAGCTTTATGTCTTGATTCTCTCAGGTACCCAAGAAGTGTTTCAGCCTGCAAAAGCAACTAACAACATCAATGTCATTCTTTGCAAAGCAATAATGTGTGGAAGTTAATTATTCCTATATACAATGCTCAGATAAAGATCAACCAAGAGAATCATGATATTGCATACCCGAAAATGAATAACAAACAATTTAAGTTGGTAATAATAAAACAAAATCACGAAACTAATAATTGGGCCATAAGATTGAAATATAATAAATTACATAATGCCAATGCTCAGCTTTCAGAAGTCATCAAAATTTCATGAACTCCACGCTCAAACTGCAGCATGTTCGATGTCACAGACTTAATAATGAACCTAAGAAATCAGAACACCTGAGCAGCTTATTTTACACCATCATTCAGTGAACTCCTTTACAAATCAAGTTCACGGCCAATGCATTAAATGTAAATAAGCTCAAAGGTTGACATTGAGCTTTATGAACTTCCCCAGAAACACAGAGCCCAGGAAATCTCAAGGATAGGCTGCAACTTGCTAACTTTATGTGATGAAGCATCTAAATATTTTCCATTTTATCAGGTAATAATATCACAGTGCTCGTATCTAATCACACAAGTTATTAATGTAATTTGTGAGTACTATTGCTACCCATCGTTGGGTTTCAGCTTCTTATCTTATAATCAATAAAACCTTTCCAAGCATGGTTTGCTCGCTAAAAGAAAATAATGCCAGATAACATGAGCTACCACTTGAATTGCAATAAAATTTAACACAGCCACTACCAAAACGAATAGTAAAGATCGCAACTTTAAAATTATAGGAATATCAAATCTCACCTTAAGCTTGGCTTTAGCAGTCCCAGTCTGGGTCAGTGAAACCAGAGGTGGAATGCCTCCCTCCCTAACTAGCAATCCCCGATTCCTAGCACTATTTCCGCACAACTGTGACAAAGTCAAAACTGCAAACTCCTTCCCCTTATCACTTCCATACTCAATAGTCTCCACTAGGACGGCGATCCCGCATTCTTCAACTATTGCCTCGCGTCCCATCTCAATCCCAGCCAAACTACTCAACACCACCATCGCCTTTTCTACCAATCCCGTTACCTGCTCCTCAACAAGGCGCACCAATAGTTTTATAGCACCGGCACTCACTGCCCTCTCCTTATTCACCTTCACCGAACACAACTTATACAGTGTTGTTAAGGCATCCTTTTTCCCTCTATTTGACCTATGTATGAGCAAGGCCACCAATGGAGGTATAGCTCCGCAAGCCCCAATTGACAATTTATTCTCATCAATCAAAGCCAAGCTCAGCAAAGCACAAGCTGCATTCTGCTTTGACGTTTCTGTGCCTGTTTTTAGTACGTAAATTAAGGATTTTATAGCTCCTGCATTTGTGATTAAGCTTTTATTGCTTTCATGGAGGGATAAATTGAGGAGCGCGGTGACTGCCTGTTCCTGGGTCCACGGGTCAGAGCACCGGAGAAGTGGGACCAGAGCCGGTACTGCCCCGGACTCCCCAATTAATTCCCGATTATCTGCCCGATTCTTGGCTAATATTCTTAATTTAGCTGCTGCTAACCTTCTCGCTGCAATTGAAGAACACTGTAACCCATCAACGCAGAGTTTAATTGTAGGTTGTAGGTCTTCAGGCGAAATTTTCTCAATAATATCCGTTAAAAATGTCTCCCCCGGCAGAAGGCCCGATAACAGCTGAGGCTTGGGCTCTGAATTCAATACGGCATCCGTAGAGGCGGGGAGGCCTGCAAGTAGCTGGAGCTCGCCAGATATATCACTGGAGCACGCCGAGAAGTCGCTAATAGCCTGAGAGGCATCCAAAAAAGCATCAATTTCGTCGGAGCACGAGGTTTTCATATTAACCGGGGATTTGTTAGCGAGCTCGTCGAGACGGAGGTCAATAACCAAGTCGGTCAAGTTTCCAAAAATGGCAGGCGACTTATCAGGCCTTTCGGTCTGAAAGAGGCTGGGCCGGACGGTGCGCATGGAACGGCCCATTGAACGGGGGACTTTGGCGGAAGATGGCGGTGGTGTGTAATAGGTAATGCGTGTTTGGGGAAAGCGCGTACTGTTACTGGAATTGGAGTAGGGAAGAGAATGCGACTGTGAATCTTCTGCAGAAACCATGTTCAAAAACTCTCAGAACAAACAAAAATCTTAGAAGGCCGGTGTGTGTGAATTCGTTAAGGCTTATGAGATTTTCATGAATAATGTGAAAATTTCATGGCTAGACTGAGAGCAAGAGCTGAAGATGATAAAAATGGCGGATTTATGGAGGGGTACAGTGGCTTATTTTAAACGGTTTTGCTAATGATTGTACCATTAAGTACATCTCACTCACATGAATGAGCAAAGGATCTACTTGAATAAAATATTTTTTTTTTTTACATGAATCTCATGCTCATGTGAATGGAATGTATACTATTCGATGCACCTCATTATATATTACTAGAAAATTTTTTATTTAAATGAAAAATTCTACTTGTACATAAGTATTACATATAATGGTGTCCATAATGTGATATGGCAATCATCCGATTCTTAATGTTCAAGTGTGAGATTTGAATTAAATGTTAGATTCAATGTCACGTGTAATTATGGACACCATTATCTAAACAATTAGCCGTTTTAAATTCCTTACAAATTATAATTTGCGATATTGCCATTGGGGCTGTCGGCGACAGATAAGCGACGACGTTTCATATTCTGAATTAATTTTTAATTCGTTTGACCCTAGTTCAACACTGCAACCACTATGGTCCATGGCCAAGCAGTGGAACGACCATAGTTTTATTGTGACAACTTGATTAATCTATAATTTTTTAGGAAAATAGCACTTTTCTTTCTCAATCTTTCTACACTCCGACTTTTATTTCAGTGTAACCAAATTTCAACCTTAAAATTATGTATCAAAACTCGTCGTTTCTTACATTTTGGTCACTAAATGATTAAATTATCCATCTTTTAAAATATATATATATATATATAGACACACACACAAAAATTATATGCATAATACAAATTTTTTTAAATAAATTGGTAAGTGGCCGGATTCAAACATGAGTCACCACCATGAGATTCAAAGCCTTAAAGACAATGGTAACTACAAAAAGACCACGTTTTTAACAATCTAAAAATGAACACTCAAAATACAAAATTCAAAATGAATTCAAAACTAAAAATTGAGATACGAAGAGAACAGACCCTAATTTTTTGGAGAATGTGTAATTAAAAAATGAATAGTTTTTTATTCATTGTAATATTATTTTATTTAAAAATTTATTATTAAAAAGAAGAGAAAAAAATTTATATTAAAATTTTTAAAAAAAACAAACAATTGCTTAACGATTTTTGGTTATATGGGGAAAGAGAAATAATTTTACACAGAAGCATATGATGACACGTGGTAACAATTGTGAGTTAGTTGGGTTCAAATATACGTGTCGACTATTCACATCTTCTCTACAGTGACAGTGGTGTCGAAATGTCAAATTCTAACCGTTAAACTTTGAAAAACGTTGGACATTACTCATTGGCATAACTTTTATTTAAAACCTCTAACGAAATTGATGACGTGACCGACGAAATATACACATGGAACTCAATTACGACGTTAAATTTTGAGATTGTCGAATTTTGAAACTATGGAAAATGTCTCGGATTACTTACTAAACTTTGAAAAACATCTTCTATTAGTAACTAAGCTTTAAGGTGGTCGAATTTTGGTTGTTAAACTTTGAGATGATCGAATTTTTGCTATTAAACTTTGAGATAGTCAAATTTTAGCCACTGAACTTTAAAAAAGATTTCGGTTGCTCATTAAATTTTAAGATGATCGAATTTTCACAACTAAACTTTGAATAACGTATTCTATTGCTTACAATAAATTTGGATTTAATTAAAGTTCGCTTTTAAATTTTAGATAAATTTTGAATTTAATTTAATTCTAATAACAAATTTAATCTATGTTAGGTAGGAATTAAATTTTAGATTTTTATGAAACTCAAAGTCAAGAATTAATTTTAATCACTTTTATGGGACACACAGTTTTTCAACAATACATTTCATCATCTTTTATCGAAATATACTAAAAAGATTATTTAAATCTCGACCAAACATAGGCTTATTGTGTATTTTTTTGTAAAATTTAATTTAATTTTAATAACAAAATGGTTAGAGTATCCAAGGGAATAGACTGATGAACATTAGGAATGACAGGGATGGTAACCAATTGGTTGGTAGGAGATGAGGATTTAGTACCAACATAAGGAAAGAAATTTTCATCAAAAATAACACCACAAGACACATATTTTTCCAATTGCAAGGTCCAAACATTTGTATCCATGATGATTAAGATTGTAGCCAATTAATATACAAGTTTTTGAATGGAAGTCAATCTAATGAGAATTATGAAAATGCATCCTCCCAAAATGATTGAGGTAAGCTAGAGTGTAAAAGTAAAGCTAAACCAACCTCAAATATATGTCTACGTTTACTAGCACCCCATTTGTTGGTGAGTGTGTGGACAGGAAACACGATGTTGAATTTCGATTGTTTTAAAATAGTTGGAAAGACGAAGATATTTGCCTTCCTAGTCAGATTGAATGGCTTCATTTTATGGTCAAAATGACGTTCAACATAAGTTTGGAGCTGAAGAAAAATAGATTCAACATCAAACTTTAATTTAAGAGGAAGTAACCATAAAATTTTGGTGCAATCATCCAAGAAACTTACATAGTACCAAGCACCAGTTGTAGAAAGAACTGATACCAGTTCCCAAACATCAGTATAAATTAAATCAAAAAGTAAAATATTAAGAGAATGATTGTTTTAAATGATAAGGTGCAGCTACGAGCACTTTGACAATCTGAACACACATGTTGTCTCTTATTTGCAACTGGAAGGAAATTTTGAGAAACTGCTTGTCCGATAACTAATGGTGATGCATAACCAAGTCTTTTGTGCCAAAGAGAATAAGGAACTCCAGTGGCAGAAAAGGATCATGACTAGATAGATTTTTGGTCTATGATAATGAGTATAACCCATGGGTTCCTTGATGCAGAATGCTCCAAAGTAGTTTTTAACAAAAAAGGAAGAATGATGAAATTCAAAGGATATGGAATTCTCTCTACAAAATTGATGTACAGAGATTAAGTTTTCTTTTAATATCTGGAACAAGCAAAATTGACTTAATATCTGCACCATTGCTGACCTAGATTTGATCAGCACCATCATAGTCCTATTTTTTTGCAAATTGGGATTGTTTACCTCATTGGTGAGATGATGAATAGCGCCTAGATGCTATACTTTATCACCCGAGGAATTATTAGAGGCTACATTGCTTGTGGAAGACAAGAAAAAGAAGAAGTCGAGGCTTGATAGTTGATATCAAATCGATGATAGCACTTCTTAGCAGTGTGTCCAGGCCTACCACAAACCTAACAATAAACCACATCTCTGAAAGATTGACCACAACCAGAGGCATTGGAAAAATGATTACTACCACGAGACCTACGCCCCTGAATGTGGAAGCCACGAGCACATAGAGGTGGCAACATTAGCCGATCCTTGTAGTATAGGTTGGATGTAATTGTGATAGTTATGTCGAAATTCAGTGGTCGACAAGAGAGAGTAGACTTCTTCAAGTGATATTGGATCATTTCGAACTTGAAATAGTCGTAACAAAGGGATCATAGTCCTGACCTAAGCTTGACAGAAGATATGTGATTATCTCATCACACTTGAGAGCTTGTACTTCAATGGCAAGTTCGTCAGACATTTTTTTGATGTGCATAAAATAATCATTAGCAGATAGAGCTCCCTTGCAAGCATTAGCCAAGCCTGTGAATTGCACGAGCACGAGATGAGATGAGAAGGTTGTCTCGAGTGCAGACCATACGACGGAGGAAGTTGTATGGTTCACGACCTGCGCCATGACTGATTCAGTGATGGTGGAAAGAATAATGGCTAGGACAATAGCGTCTTGACGTTGCCAATGAGAAAATTTTGGATTTGGAATGGAGGAGATAGCACTAGTTGTAGGATGAGGAGAATCAATTTCCTCGGGTGGGAATTTAGTAGTGCAAATTAGATAGCCCCAGAGGCCTTGGCCATAGAAGAAAGGAATCGTCTGTGCCTTTCAGTCAGTGGGCCGAGCCGAGTCGGCTCGGTTCGTTAACCCACGAGCCCGGTTCGGGCTCGTTGCTTGTGGGCGAGCTCGGCTCGGCCCACGAGCTCGTGTACTCACGAGCCACGAGCTCGTGGGCCGGGCCGGGCCCACGAACGGCTCGTGAATTTTTATTTTTATTGTTATTTTTTGCAAAATTTTCAAATTTTATTGATAAAATTTTAATTTTTTCCATTTTTTGGACGAGCCAGCTCTTGGGCTCGGCCCACGAGCCGCTCGACGAGCCGAGCGGGCTCGGCTCGTTGGACGCGACCCCCGCTCGGCTCGAGCAGCCCACGAGCCGAGCTTTGACAAGCCAAGCCGACTCGGCCCAATTGACATCCCTACTTTCAGATGTGAATTTGGTGACATTGATAATAGGTGGAATAACGAGCAAGGGATTTGTGGTGAAAGTAGTATCCGAAAGAGTTGACGATGGAGAAGCCATGATTAGGGACGTTGGTCAAGGTAGCTTAATCTGATACCATTTAAAATTTAAAGGATTGAGAGGAATTAGAAGTCTGAATGTTTTTATCATTCAAACTAAACTATGTACTTGTGTATTTATAGCTTAACAAAGGATAACATGTAAATCTATTCTACACATGCTATTTAAAATTTTGATTTAAATGACATATTAGCTAACAAGGGCAGCAGGATCTTCATGATTGTCTCCTACAAATCAGGTGATTGAAAATTACACGCTTGTTCTTCAACAAAGTTATTTGTAGATTTCTATGAATTTTCATTTTAAAATTTTTATAGACTTTTATATTCAAAAGATTTTCGAAAACTTTCATTTGAAAAATAATTCACGTGGATCTAGAAAAATAGTGTGAAATTCCTACGTAGGAGGTGTTGGTTCTTACAATTCCCCTTCTATTTCCCCTTCATCTTTCCATAAAATAAAATAAAATAATTTAAAAGAATAAATTTAAGACTTTAATTAAATAAATAACAATCAATAAAAAGTAAACTTAATATTCAATATTATTAGTATAATATACTTTTAAAGAATAATAAAAAATTAATATATTTAAATTTAATTATAATTTGTCTATATAAAATTTTATAATTTAAATAAAATAAATATTTTTCACAAAAAAAAATTAACTCTATTGTTCAGAGAATGGAAAAGA